ATTTCTTAAGTACGAAAGTTTGAGTGAACAAATCGTGAAAAGTTATAATAAAATACGACAGATATAGTAGACAAATAACCAGATAAATTATATTACTATATGTTACTATTGATAACATAGCATAAGCCTAAAGGACTCTCTCTGAGAATTACTGGTAACAGACAATTAAGGTTGTCGGAGTTTCGGTTTGTTCTACTTAATCCAAGCAAGATGAAATTGTGAATGGGGTCCACTCTTTTCCGCAATCCAGTTTCCATGTCGTATTCGAAACTAGTAGTTGCCGATATGTCAATCTATTATTGTACACCAAGTAGTAGGTTAGATCTGTCATACTGGATAGTTTCATAGGTCACGTTTTAGTGTCTTAGGAAACGTGATAAAACCCAGGAAAATTTTATATAGTTGCTTTACTGACCAAGATGATTACTTTCAGGTTCAGGTAAGTTACCTATTGATGTTCATGATGGTTTACCTACGCCATCACCTATATACTACACTTATCTATATCAGGTACTTTTAAACAACATTTTCTTACAAAAATGTTCATCATCGTTAACTAACTATATAAAATATTTGCAAATACTTTGTTTTCTTTGGACTATGTTCAGGTGTAAACATTGTATGCAAAAATTGTTCCAGATGATCTTAACCTTCTGAGGTTGCAATTGTTTAATTGTTATGTAACTACTTAATGTAGAATTATGATCAAAAAATTTAAAACTGTAACCATGCGATGATGACACTCCAATAGATTTCTAATTGCAGTTTTTCAAATGGCGGTGATTTCTTAAAGACGTTTTTCCATTGGATCTCTAATACATTTTCAATAATGATAATTAAGTTGAATGGCAGTATCTCTAGTAACTACAATGACAAGATCCTAATTTACAGCATATGCGATGAATTTACAATAAGGATATTCTAATAGATTTTTCAAGGCAGTATCTCCATTGGAGATTCAATACATTATCAATCAAATATTAGTGAGCCTATAATGGCAATATATGCAACACAAGATCTCCAATAATTGAACAGGATTAATTAAATGATATGGCAGGAAGTTGGGTTGTATAAGTTAAGGTATTGAACTGATGATCAAGATAAAGAGCATCTCTACAATACTTGATGTGATTTAAGTAACGATGAAGTTACCTGGAAATTACGTTAGTTTCCAACGGTCCCTCCTCAACTATGGGTAATTCAACTATAGAGCTCTTTTATCAGCAAATCATTCTAATACCATGTGAAAGTATTTTCTGCAGAAAGTATCAGAATATCTCGAAAGGAGCACATCATGGGTGTGCATCATAACCATCCCTACTAGCCTTAGAGTGCAGAATGTGCAACTTTGAAGTATTGAGCCTACGTCGCTTGCAAGCGGGGTTCTACAATTCAACCCAAACGAGTCAACATATTGCAAAAGATTCGCACGCAAGCGATTTAAGCTAAACTTAGAAGGAGAATCAATCGACTACCGAATTACGCCTTAGTGGTGAGAATTGATTGTACTAACTTGTTCCTAACATAAATTTAAAAAAGTAAATAAGTGAACATTGCAGGGTCCATGTGTCTTCAATGACGATAAATAATTCTTCATCGGAATGCTGGAAAAGGTTATACACAGATCCTGAATGCCGAACGTAAAAAAAATACTTTTTTCAACTTCCAGATACTACAGGCTTTGCTAACCAGCAGAGGCACTGCAATACCATCAATTTCATTTCGTTTGGAAATTTCTGTAATTTTATTAATGAATCCAATGGTAACAATATGCCTTTTTGGGGATTTTAAAGCTCATAATCCAATATGAGGGTTCAGAAATAAAGGTATCCATTGTCGAGAAAGTGTTGAAAGAGGATAATTTGATTTAAAAGAAAAATACAATAACCCACTTATCTGCAAGGTCGAGTATTTTCTCTGCACTTGACTAGTCAATTATATATCTACGAATTTCGATGCATGTTACGTGGAAAGTATTACACGATTCATACAACAGTGATCACATATTCTTCATAAATACTGTACATAATTGCAATTTGCCCTGTAATGTCTGGGAATCAAAACTTCATATCTAATTACCAGTTATCATCTCCGCAGGAGGTGATTAACAACAGTTTAATATTATGCTTTCCAAAAATACTATTCAAAAGGCCTTCCTATGATATCAGAACCTAATTGTATTGAAGTCAATATGAAGACTATATAAATAGTTTTTTTATATGTAACACTATTTCTTGTAGTAATAATTAACAGTATTGCACGTTTGTATTCCAAAATACAAAGATCTTTATACATGACTGCTTTTTGTATCTATTAGTGTAATAGGATTAATGTATTAGTGTAATAAAATCTCAAGTAACCATCAACATTTGTATACAGTGACAATATTACCTATCTTGGAGTATAGTTGAAAGGCTTGAAAAGTCCGATTTCTATTTCTTCTTCTTTTGGTGCTACAATCCTTGGTGGGTTTTAGCTTGCTCAATGACCTATTTCTATTCTGTTCTTTCACAACACAACCGTCTCCATCTCCTAACTCCTATTCTCTTAAATCGTCCTTCACATCATACATCCATCTTTTTCTCGGTCTTCATTCGTCTCACGTACCCCATCCATCCGAATTTCCTACCTTTTATGAATCTAGCAATATCGGCCACATCCATCAGGTGGTATAACAACAGTACTACAATCATTAAATGTTACAGTACCTCGAATACTTACACATTAATATCCAACAACTCTTACATGGCTATTAGATCCCATTGCAAATTTTCCAAATCAAACTACTCTACAATAGTTCTCTCTGATTTTTATAACATAATACATACTCTCAATGCAAAAGTGTATTTGATCTTTGTATTTAGAGCAACCACCATTTATATCTCTAGTCCCACTAGACTTCAGTTTTTAGATAATACCTAAAAACTTCAATTTCTGGAGCTCAGGTAAACGAGAAAGTGGGTGCACAGCCAAAATAATTACGGCACATGCCTAGAAGACTCTAAGACGAAGTTGAGCAAAAATATGATTCCTTCCCCTTTCGACATATATCTCGATATAACCTAGTCATACTTGTGCAATCTGCTTACTATTACCTGCTCACATATATTTAGTTTTATTGTGAGGTGGAAAACAAATGAAAGCCCGATGAAAAATCAGCTTGCCAATTGTGGTTAACATTCGACTGTTACTCTGTTTCCAGGTTGTCTTGTTCAAAGAAGACTTTTTATAATTACTACCACCCTGCCATCTTCGTACATAAATGGTTCAAGACACGTTTGTGCAAACAGTCAACGTTGATCGCCTGACAATTGCAGAATTTCTCGATCTAGTCAATGAAGCGATGGCATTTTGACTACTGCCAAACAGCTATTTAGCGGTTAAAGGATAAACAATCGTAAAACAGTAAACATTAACTGTCCAGTGAGGATATCAATGAAAGGGCAGACAGGAACTATTCTGCTTATTTCTTATGAATGTTTTGCTTAAATTCTAAAATTGTTTTCCTATGAACGAATAGAAATGTTCAAATACAGTTTGAATTTTTAAATATATACGTTTTAGTAGATTCTAATGATTATAGTTGGTATAATGGTAATGATGTACTTGCTTTTTTACATCCTTTATTACAAAAAAAGGTTTAAACCAAATGTCTAAACCTGTTACAAAAAATCAGGTGCAGTACAAACAACCAGAGCACCGTTTTAGCACAATAGAAGAGGTCTTTTTATACACACCTGAAATCGCACCCTCGCCGTCCTTTGTTAGTTATTCTTCGGGGTTCTTTATAAATGAACAGCGCCGATTTTTATGGTCCTGGGAACATACTTGACACATGATATTTGTAACAAAACACCGTTCCCGTTTTTTATATCTACCACCTTGTACGTTTAATCGTCTTTAACGATTAATTTAAAATTTTTTTTTTAGTATGTATATAAGTGACCCTTTTAAGTAAAGATTCGCTGCTGGATTCATTGTCCAGTGGCGGTCGTCAACAGCAGTACTAGGGATTGATTTATGTCCAAGAGGGATTTTTCGGTTTGATTTACAACATCTTGAGGTCTTCGGCGGCCCCTTTGCTTTTGGTCAGTAGGTAGCCTTTTCATTTTAGCAAAAGTTATGCGGGGTTTTGTATACCTTGGACCCCCAACTGCATTTTGTCCTTTTAGAAAAAAACGACACGGTCTTGTTGTGGGTAGTATTACTAATTATCTTAGTGCAAGAGTTTATCACCCGGTAGGACCTCTTTAGAAAAAAAAGCAAAAAAGAAAAGTATTATTCAATTAGCATTTACTTCTTTATTGGAGGATTTGTTAAGAAATTCCGAAGAAGTGTGACTAAATTTTAAACTAACAAGGCGTTTTTTTTTGTGAGTATATATATTTTTTTGGTTATAAAATTTTTGTAACGATTTAGAAAAAAGTTTTGTTTTAGGGTTGGGTTGATTGGAAGATTTAGTTGATTAATAGGTGGTCGTTACAGATTGATTCAAATGCTTCACGTGGCTTAGATTGGTTCACGCGGTTATTCTACGTCATGTATTCGAACTAAGGTTTTTTATGTTGTGATAAATTATATGGTTAACACTCCGTAAGTTAAACATATTTTAAAAATAGGATCTTAAAGTAGTTCTTTATACTTGGATACAACTTCGTTCTCGTTAATTCGATTTTTTTACTTGGAAAATTTCATTCTACTTTATAAGCAAGATCACGTCAATCGTTGTTCATTTATCATTACACATAAAGATTCATTTCCAACCCTTGTTTCGTTTTGCATTTCTCGTATTTTACCCCTCTTCCCTAAGAACTTCCTCCTCAAATCCTATATAGACATTCTTCTTCCCTCTCCCGGATTTTCAAGATCTCTTGGTGGATCCAGGGGCCACTCGTAGGTCTGTTTGTGGGGCTCGTGGCGCAGGGCTCATCGCGCAGCTCCGCCCCCGGATCTTTGTCCTCTCCGTCGTCGGGTGAGGAACGCGCGCGGCATCTCAAATCTCAGTTATTAGCGAGTCAGTGCTTAAAGTGACCGTTTAAGGAAGGGGACTGACTACAACTTTTAAGAAGTTACTAGATGACCACCACCATCGTTCATCACAGTTCTTCTTTTTCGGAATACCACCACCATCAGATGAATAGGGTTGTGCAAACACCACAAGTAAGTGATTTCATTTAAAATTAATTCATCATCAAGATGTTCATACAAATTTATGAACTTAATTAATTTTTTTTTATTATTTTCAGATGATGTCTTCAATAAATTTGATTCCTCCGTGTAGACTCTATGATAGTTATAATCAGATGACACCATCGCCTACATCATCATCAAGTAGCGATTGGACCACGACACAAGTGCCTTCTTCAGAGCCTTCCTTATCTCCGCTCGAGTATTCGCCCCACTACCAATACAGCACCAACCAATATTGGTTTCCGCAATCACCATCTGGAAGTACAACCTCTTCGACAAGTTCGGGAAGTTTTTCGCCTGTGACTCAAAGTGGATATTATGCATACTCATGGCCACCACCTCATCAAACATCTTACGTAATTCCGTACGGAATCAAACCCGAATTTCCAACGAATTACATCAAAGGTAGACGATGCATTAAATGCCAGTGTCCGAATTGTTTAAAAGAAGAACATGGGGGTGTTAAGACGACAGGAAAAAAGACACACGTGTGTCATTATCCAGATTGCGGGAAAGTTTACGGTAAAACGTCACATTTACAAGCACATTTGAGGATGCATTCTGGGGAGCGACCTTTCGTGTGTAATTGGTTATACTGTGGAAAGAGGTTTACAAGATCAGATGAGTTGCAAAGACATCTTAGAACTCACACGGGTGAGAAGAGATTTTCTTGTGATGTTTGTTCGAAAAGGTTTATGAGATCGGATCATTTGGCAAAACATGTTAAAACGCACAAAAATATCAACAAGAAAAGTACATCAAAAAATAACGAAAATGAAAAAAAAGTATCAAGTTTAGATAATAACCCAGAAACGAATCCAATCCAATCGAGTTCACTTGAATTACCACGTATACAAACATTACCTTCTACAAACCAATATTTACATCATTTCCAAGAGTCCTCCTCAAGTTATATCAACCAAACTGGACATTATAGTTTTTATATACCACATCCACATTTGGTCGATCAAAGGCAATGACGAATCATTATGTATATTTTTTTTGAATTGTATATATTATTATAAGTATTTTAAAGAAAATTAATATTAAAATTATTCTTCTACTCTGTTTAAAAAAAAAATATGTTTTTTCTTTCCCTAAAAATATTTTCTCATCCTCTCTCATTGATTTATCGATTTCGATACGGTGGAAATCATCTCGTAAGGTAAGGTACCGACATTAACGTAAGCGGTGATTAAAATTTTAATTAACTCTGTGATGTGTAATTATAATTTTTGAGGGAGTTACGAAAGTGCACCGCGAAGGTGGGCATATGGTAATTATTGCGTGTCTTGGCCACACAAGGGTATGCCTTTCCGATCGGATTTATTATTGAATACGACGGGTCAATAAGTATGCAAAGAGGTTATTGACGCGTTTTCGAACCGTATAATAATAGATTTTCAATCATTTTTATATTTAATATCAAACTTTAACTTTGTTATTAGAAAACATTTTTAATTATTCCTAAAATCTTAACCAACATACTCTTTTATCAATTCGATAAGATTCATTTAAGTTTTAAAGATGATTAAACTCTCAAAAACTAAAAAGGATTTTCGAAAACGGTCTTTTTTATTACAAAGATCCTACTTTTATTTGTAAGTGTTGGAAATTTAGTACCAATATGTTAAGAAATCGATTTATTATGATTTCTGAAATCTTTGGCATAAATACAGTTTATTATCTTTATTCGATAAGATTCATAACATTATTCTGACAAACTGATTTTCCATGATTTTTCAAAATCATCGATTAAAATTGTTGATTACGTCAACAATTTCTTGCACTTTACTTTTTTGCTTTAGCATTATATCATCTCTTGTTAGATTTAGCTATAATTTTATCATTGAGGTCACTCTCTTTCATCGCAGTGTCTTTAGCTTTTCTCCCTGCCATCTTCTTTCTTTTAAGTAATTTTATTGTCAGACCAGTAAATTAACATTACTATACAAGACTTTTTCTTATAATCGCCACTTACAAAATAATAAACATAAGTCAAATTGAATGGTAACATTTAATGTATTTTTAATTCAAGTAGATGTCTTGTGGTAGTTTTCTTTTAAGACGACAGTGGATGTTCCTTTTTTCTTCTATGAATTGTATGCGTTCAGGAAACCGGGAAGTCATTGTAGACATAAAGGCTATGATACTGTCAATTTTTAATTCGTTGTGTAGTTGATCATTAGAGATATACCACTCGGAGTCTACTGCTATGCATAATATTTTGTTTCGTAAAACCTGAGCCTTATTGAGATTTGATTTAGCCGAGTTTCCCCAGAAAACGCAGGCATAGGTGATGAGTGGTCAAAAGAGGATTTTATACATTGGCATAGTGTTTTCGCATTTAAGCCTTGTTCTCTTGTTTATCAAGAGATACAGTTGTTTCACTTTTCCGTAACCTTGATTAATTTTTTTGAGTACAGTACAAGCTCGATAGTGTGAACGCAAAAATACCAAGGACCATTCATGTTATAGGGGGTGTTCATACAATTGAAGGTACATAAAAATACATAATCAAAAGTTCTTTATTTCACAAAGAAAGTTAACATACATAATATGTATAACGAAATAAACATTTATTAAAAAAATAACAAAAAGTAAATATCTATGTATCTCCTTAAGAAAGAAAAAAGTTGCACATGTACATATGTATGTACAACCGTATTACATATTTATTTTAGACATATTTATTTTTTTAGACATTTTAGACATTTTTATTTTATTGCATTTACATTATTTATTTTAGGTCTGAAAAAATGTATAATTTTTTTCTGAATCTTTTTAGACTGAATATTCAAAAGGACAGCCTCTTCTAATATATTTTAAAGTAATTCGATTTCAGATCCATCTTGACGATCTTCATTCCATATTTCTGCATATTTCATTTCCATATGTCTTTAGATGTGTTACCATAATTTATTTCATTAAGTAGTGTAACTGTGTCCTTAAGTGCTTCATTGTAGTCAATCTCTTTAGCGACATTAATTTGCTTCACAACTGCCGATAGGGGAATATCATCTTCGTCCGGTTCGTTACACTTTAAAATGTTATTCCAACATTTACGAATTATATCAGGATTAAGTTTATTCCACGCAATTGTCAGATGCATTATAGTATCCCGTATTGTTAAAAGTTTCAGACTCTCTGTTAATTGACCACTTTTTCCTACAATTGAACTTAAAAGGCTTTTCCTATAGTAAAGTTTTGTTAATTTTAAAACGTTCTGATCTAGCGGTTGCATTAATGGTGTGACATTGAGTGGCATGGATATTACGAATATCACTCCATCGGCTGTTCTTAGCTTCTCTTTTGGTGAGTGACTAGTTAAAAGTCAACAAACACGTATTCATACTATCGAGAGGCAAACGTTGTTCACACTATACGGCTGTCAGTACAAAATGTTGGTGCAAAAAATCTGTTCATGTTATCCAGCTGTTCAAACTAACGAGTGTTCATGTTAGCGCGCTTGTACTGTATATGGTATTTCCAAGTTAATCTTGTGTCAAGGAATATGCCAAAATATTGAACCGGTTCGTCCAAGTCGTTCCATCTAATTCGCTTCAGTGCTTCAATGCTTTTAATTCGTTTCAGTGTAAAAATTTTTGTGATGCACCCATGTATTCCAAGACTTAAACCATTTGACTAGGGTTTTTATAGCTATTTACAGATTTTCAGTTGCATCCTCGAGTTCAAAGCTTTGCGGTATTAAGGCTCCGCATATGAGAGCAATTAGTTGTGGCATACCACTCATGTAAATGTTGAACAGGGTGTGAGAGAGGACGCTGCCGTGGGGTACACCAGCGAGTTTTTTTTTTTTCGGAGAGGGATTCATGAATTTTAACAGGGAAGCATCGGTTTTTAAGAAAGGATGGTGTAATATTTTATAAAGTACTCCGTTGGTCCATACACGTTCGAAAGCTTGAGCAATATCGAGAAATAAGCCGGTCGACTATTGCTTCATTTCAAATCCGTTTTCAATTATGTTCGATAATCGTTGTAATTGATGACTGGTCGACATTAATTACTTTTTCTGAGATTTTGGATAATGTTGCTCTTGGGGTTCCCTTGCTTTAGAAACATAAGTACATGGGCGTGTTTCCAACAGCTTGGAAAGTAACCTTGTTCCAGATAGGCATTGAATAATCTCTTCAAAAACTGCACTACTTTTTCCGGTAGATTTTTATGGCCAAGTTAGGAATTTGATCAGGTTCTGAAGCTTTCTTAGTTTTCAGATTTTTAATTATCTGTCGAATTTAATTTATTTTGACTTTTTGGAACTTACTGTTTAATACCGGTTTATGGTTTTCGTTATATGATATCACAGAAGTTGGGATATTTGGGGTGCTGAAGATGTAGGGTCTGAATATTTTTTCCAGATATTCTGCAAAACTAGCACTTTTCTGTTGATCAGTTACTAAGTGTCCATTCTCAATATTTAAAGTTGATATTTCATTAGATTTTCTCGTGATTCTTCTTGTTGCTTTCCATATTTCGTGACTGTTGGGTTCTATGTTGTTTAAATATTGTTGAAAAGATTTTATTCAAGTTTCTTTCTTATTTGTCGTGTTAATCGATTTACAACTGACTTGGTTGCAAGGTTTCTCGAGGAAAGCCTCTAGGAATAATTCTTTTGCTGATATGTGCTATGCACTTCCTCATCTTTTTCCTTTTGGGAAAGGTTTCCCAAATGGTCCACTTCTTTGCCTCAATAACAAATTTAGGGGGTTGGGAGAGTGGGGTAATTGCGAACACTTAAGGGAAAATTGAAATAAAACAAAACCTGATAAAGTTAGGAATGTTGACTGAGACTTTACTTAAAATAATCAATCCTATGTTCTCATAAACAGCGCAGATAAATTTTCAATATAAATCAAATATTTATAAAAATAAAAAACAAAACCTTGGATGGTGTATGAGGTAATCACGAATATAGTCTCATCATCATATAAATCACAAATAAATCCACTAGATGTATTTTCACCACTCATACAGTTTTCATGGGCTCATAATTTACATTTGCATCATTTTATCCAGTCTTCACTTGGAGGATCCTCATACTTTTCATCACAAATGAGGCAATAATACTCTTCCTCCTTCGGATATCTTTCATTGGTCTTCTTCTTCTTGCGTGATATAATCTTTGTCTTAATCTTATCATCTGCAAATGCAAGATTCTTCATTCTCCCTTTCTTGTACTCCTTATTTTTCTTACTGTCTTTTTTTTTAATATCTTTCATAGGACTACTGGTTATTATAGCTGAGTGTCTTTTCTACGAGTTTGTTTACTTTTCAGTTTTGCTAGTTTGGGAACATTAACAACATCTTCAAATGGGATTGAGTTATCCAACACACATTTGATTTGGTCTTTGCTGCACATTTGATGTCGATGCTATCTGTGCATCAGGTGTCACGGTTACGACACTTTGCAAATTTCCATATTCAGGTAGTGATGTCGCATCTACCCAATGTTCATCAAATTTGGTTGTATTTATTGGCCAAATATAAACTGCCCGAAAGCCTTTGGTGTTTTCTCTATATTGCTGATACGATTGAAAGTTTTCGTGAAAAGTTCGACCACTTCATACTGTGTAATTTTTCGCCCTACATTTGAAGCCATGTACAAGTCGCACTTTCTATTGTATGAAGTCTTGAGATGTGTAAAAAATGTTAAGTCTAGTGGTTGCATATGATGCGATGTGTGCGGTAGAAGGGACAACAATATTATTGTGGCAACAAAGCAGATAGCAAGCAAGACTAACATGACTTTCTGGAGATGAAGTGGTGTAACCAATCTACGAATAGGTATTGATCCAACCCGAATCGCTAATGGCTACTATCATATCAGCATTGCCTCCGCGCAACAATTGAACATTCGTACGCTTCCACTTAAAAATAAATTAAAAACAGAGGAATATATTTTCCTGAAACACTAAACGCGCAAACAACTGTTATTGCCATGCCTCTTTCTCCACTCGTTCCCATGCCAACTTATTTCTGGCCTTT